TGAGTGGGTTAAGAAGTAATAGAAAAGAAGTGGTGGAGAACTCATGAAGGCTAGATCTTGCAGAGGTTTTATTGGGTGTGCTGAAGGATCTCTGACCCATGAAGATGTTCCTTCTCCCAGCATCCCCTCCCAGCTCTTCAATGTCTGGGTTTTTTTTTCCTTCCCCTCCCTCATCCCCCTTTATTGTGCTTCTGTATAGGTGTAATTTATTGTGATTACAGATGTTATAAACTAGTTATATAGAAGCATTTCTCCTGGGTAGGTATCCACACTGATATCCTGGTAGACAAAGTGTGATGGAGAAACCCACCATCAGCCTTTGGGAGTCCTGTGGGTGAATTCTAGTGTATGTGTTCTCCAAATATTTTCAAACTTAAGTGATGCCTCTTGAGAAAGTATTTGGATAATAGCTATTTCGTGTAGACCCTCATCTGCTTACATCACACCAGTAGTGATGGCTAATGCTCTAGAGAAGAGGCCCTATTTAATTTCTGTCTGGGTGTAGATGAGGACTATGTGCATGTTCATCATAGCTCTCATACAAGGGAAATAAGATGTTTTTTCCTGATACTTGAACAAGAACACCCTCTTCTTACCAAATACAGTAGTAATGCTTCCAGACAAGGACCTTTAAGGCAATGGAACATGCTAAGAATATTTTTTTTTTCATTAAGGAAAAAAAAACAACCCATCAAATCTAAAGTTTAGCATGTCAGTTAACTCTGAGTTGGGAGTGAAAGGACAGGAGAGGAGAAAGATAAAGGATGTGCTAAGGAAAACTTAGAGCATTCCACAGCTATCTTCTTCCAGGAACTTATTTATAAAAGCACAGAAAAAAAATTCTAAAAGTATGTCTATTACAGCTGAGAATAACAGTTTTACTATCATAACTATTTATATGCAGGACAGAGGAAAATAGTATCAGAAATGGGGCCATCAGTCAAAGTTTTCCCTGAATAGGAGTCTAATAGATAGCTCCCTGGAGCATCCTCCAGCACACAGACTTGCTGCTATGTAATAGCGTTTGTTATGGCTGGCAGTTTTTCAAGGTTGGGTATATTAAACTAGATTCCTGTGTCTATTTATATGCCAACATATTGAAACAGCCTGTTTTCTTTTTTCTCCTCCTTCTCTAGAGCTGGTGAACAACAGAAGTCAGTGGGTGCCTGTCTCTAAACCAAATTACTTTTACTGAGAAACCTAAAACATAGACTTGGGCTTTAATGTCATCACGAGCTAGAACTTTAGGATGATGGTATGATAGGGGACAAAGAGGCTGGAAAATTCAGAAAGCCAGAAAGTTACCCCCCCAAAATTTTGCATGCTTAACAACTGAAAGTACCTATAAGTGGAGATAGAGTAATGGCAAAAATTCCCTGTCCCATCCCATTTTGAATTTGAGTCCAACAATGAACCCTTAAGTAGTCTAGCAATTTTTCAGGACAGATATAGCAAACAAAATGCCTAGCCTCATAGGTAGACTTGGGGCAGCTGGTACTGTGCGATGAACTGAACAAAGCCTTGCTGGCCAGCAGTAGGGCACTTCTTGCAGGACCGGGACTGGAGGTGCTCCCTGCTGCCTCTTTGGGAGGTGCCAGCCTAGCAGCCACGTTACCAGCATTGAACATCTCTCAAATGTGAATAGTTTCTCACTTTTCGGCCTTTCTGCAGAGTAACTTGTATGACTTTTTGCCTACGTTTCTCAAATGGTGTTTCTCCAGTGGTGGTGTTGTGCTTGGATTTGTGTCTAGCTGTGCTATGCAGTGCCCTACTGTCTCCTGTGCTTCTCCAGAGGCCCGGACCTGTGGTGAAGATGGTACTCTGCTTCACCGGCACTGCTGCTTTCAGCATTGAATACTTGATGCTCAGGGTCCAAGGTACAGTCAAGCTGTAAAACCGTTTCACTCTAAAGATGAACTGACCTCTTTGACTAAAGTTTCAAGAATTTGCTTGTTTTCAAGACGCCTTTATGGGCTTTCGGGAGACTTTGCATACAGATGTTTTCCAAACATATGAAAAACCAGAGCTGTTCAAAGCTCTAGCCTGGATAAAACTGACTGCTATGAAAAATGCTGAAACAAGGCTGAAGTGATTTGAGGTCTGTAGGATTATGACAAAGGTTCTGGCCTGATAGAATAGGAATGTAGTAGCTTTCCTAATTGGTTTGTCCTCTAATTGAACACATCTTTTTCCAGATGAAATTTTACAATAAGTATTTCAAGGTTCTGCTCTTCAGATTGACTCTTGACCATGATCTATGCTTTTCCGTGGGGGAAAATGTCATATACACGTCATATAGGAATTGCCCTAGTCCCTGGTGAATGTCCATTTAAAGCTTAATATTAAAGCCAAATGTAATGCTCTACATGCTTATTCTTTCCAGGACAAAAACCTGGCAACGCCCTCAAAAATCCCAAGGAGGTGAGCTCAGAGTTTTCACGATGCATGGATGTCATCCTTACAGATTGGGAAGGAATGATCCAGTCACCAGGATATCCCATGAGATATGCAAATACCACCAGGTGAGCACCTGAGTTCTTCTGCCTTTTGTAACTCCCACATGAAAATCTGCAAATATCTGTGATGTGGGTTTTAATGAATCCATAAGTACTTCAGTGCATGTCAGAAAAGTGGGCAAGTTTCTCAAAGACAGTTAGGAAAGCTGGGGGGTACCAGTACCTTCTTTCCAGCAAACAGCAGACAAATCTGACACCTCTGGGCAAAGCTCTCATCATAAAGCACGTCAGAGGCCTGAACATGGCATAACTGAGGGGTTAACAAAGGCAGTGCTAAACCATGTCACATAATCTTTTGGCACTTTCATCTGTTTCCTTTTCTTCCTCCCTTATCATGCTTAGCTAGGGTGGGAGATAACTTTCCATTCACGTGGCCATAGCATAGACTTTTAAACTGTTTGAAAGCTTAACTTCAGAAGTAATGAATAATATCACCGAAATAGATTTGGACCAGTATACCGTCTTTTGATTTTATTTTTTTTTTTTCTTTTCTCTTTTTAATGGGCATTACAATCCTTTTTGCCTTTGCTCACATTTTGATAGCTATCCCTAGGAAATAAGAGCCCATTGTAAAATATGCCGGCATTGTGACTTTGTTCTTTACTTTGTGCTGCAGCTCCCACTGGAGAATTGTAGCCCCATTAAAGTCCATTATTCGGTCTGAAGTCCTGGACTTCTGGACTGAAAGAAATCTGTCTAATTGTCATGGCCAACTGATGGTGTATGAAGGATTTGGACTAACCAAAGAGTTAATAGGTGAGAGAGAGCTCACCTTAATGCTGGGATGAGAGAAACAGAGGAACTGAACTAAGTTTCTTTTGCAGACAGACAAGGAAGTTTTACATGGCACACTGCCATGCTCCAGGAGGGATTTCTGATAATACTTGGAGCTACTTCAGCTAGCTTAGTATCTTTCCCTTCCTAGAAATACTTTTGCAATCAATCGTATTGGATACAAGGTCCTAATCATGGCATGGCTGTGCCTCAGAACAATGTGAGTCTGTCTAAGTTGCTCTTTCCCAGGCTTGAACTTGCAGCGTGACAACTTGCTTTGTGTGTCCGAAGCTGTGTGCCAAAGACAAGGCAGCGGGTCAAAGCGATGGGGCCAAGGGAAGGGAGGCTTTTCCTACTGCCCTGCTAAGCAAGAGGAGATACCTACGCACCCTGGGTGAGGAGCTGTTAGCTTGGATGTGTAGGATATCGCTGAGGAGGCGAAGCTGTGCAAGTGTCTTCTGTATGTGGAAGAGAAAGCATAGACTGGAAACTTAAACTGTTAAGGCGCTTATGGATACAAGGTTCTTCAGCGCCAGATCTCAGTTATGTGAGATGCTCAAAGTGACTTATTCCCCAGAGAATACGGGTGTCCTGCAGTCTTGTGAGCATCGCGTAGTGTCTTGCACAAAGGAGCCTGAGGAGGGGGCTGCCTGTCAGCAGGGATTTCTTCTGACCAGAGAACTCCAGGCAGTGGGCACTTGCCAGTAGTGATTTGTAGTGGTTATGAGTGTCTAACTATTTGTCTGTTTGAAGAAGGCCACCATTCTGGTTACAGGTATAGCAAGTTACCTTCTGACTGTGTCTGTAGTCTAATGCATGAATTCAAAGCTGAATGACATCAGGATTTTGTGTTAAGAGGCTTTTAGGAAGGGAAATATTTTCTGACACTGCATTTTGAAAGACTATGCCTTACAGCCCTCAAGAGAAAAAGGGGAAAGTGGAAGGCTCACATCCCATTCTGGTCTCTTTTGCAGGCAGCTTCTGTGGTGACACTTCCCTCTATCCCATAAAATCTCAAGGTTCAGTGGTGACAGTGACCTTCTCTTCCAGGGCTGAGTGGGCTGAGCCAGCCATGAAAGGCTTTCTCTTGGCTTACTCTACTCAGGAAACACCATCTGGTAAGTCTATTATGATTTTGGGGTGGGGTTGGAGAAGTAGTACCTAAAGTATGGCTGGTTCTTATATATATATATATATA